AGCAGGATTGTGAATCGCCGACAGCTCCAGATATTTAGCATGCTAAATATTTCACGGGTGTCGGCAATTCTCTCAGATCGCATCTTTGATAATTCACACTGCGTCACTCACGTGAACGAGCACCGATTTGCCTCTGATTTCAGGCATTTGTTGGCGATTTTCGCAAAACCTGTCGGCGAGTGAAATATCGGGCTAAAATCATGCAGTATGAACTCGGCATTAGTGTATGCCTGCATAGTAACTCTCTGAAGGACAGGTCCACTGTAAATTAGGGGTCGACCAATATATCGCCACGGCCGATATTTGAAATTTTTTATATATCGGCATCGGCCCGATAAGTTTTTATGGTTAGCCGATGCATTTGAGGCAGGACTTTTATTTTGACGGCGCTGAGAAGAAACACTGTGTGCTTTATGTAAACTGAGTGTTATCTTGGCTTTATTTGAAAAAATATGATTCCCAATGCACACAAACTTCCCAGAATACTGAGTGCCCTGTTGGTTACAGTGTTTACTTACTTTTTAATTATATTTTTATTAAATATTTATTTGTGGAAAATACTTTGTCATCTCAAGTATAAGTATGTTTATTTTACACATTTTCAAATGATTTCAAATTTCTTCAATATTAATTAAAATAAATAAAATTATATCGGCTTTAATATCGGCCATCGGCCACCCTGCTTTCCAAGATATCGGCTGTCAAAAAACACATATCGGTCGACCACTACTGTAAATACTTCACAGGTAACATAAAGCAGGTTGTACTCCTTCCAAAAGAATGCGTAATCTCATACAGCTGCTTGTCTGTCTCTGACATGGAGTTTTTTTGCCTGCTGAGGCTTGTTGGAGCCCAGTCCTGCAACACTGTGCTCATCTCCTCTTTGAGATCCTGATCTATAGCATGTGATGTGGAACACTGTAATTCAAGTTTCAAGACTTGGAAAATCTGGTTTGATCTCTTGCAGTCTAATCATTGTCTCTCTGTGCTGGTGGGGTTTTTTAGGTAGCGTAAGTGTGTTAAAGGTCACAATGGGAGGGCTATAAATTCCTCACGTTTCATTGCTCACCTCAGCCCCTTGTCCTAACTGCCCCTCATTTTATTCAATAAGCCTCTTAAGATGCTGTTTACACATGCACATAGTGCTTTTACCATTCAGACTCGCCCTCAATTACCTTCACCCTACTGACCCCATTTGT